TTTTTACAAAATATATATGTGTTTAAGATTATGATGATATCATGTGTTATGTAATTGAATTGAAAATTCAAATTGATTTTTGACATGTTGATGGTTTATTATTAAATATAATATTTTGAGTATTGATATGTGAGGGGTGGCGGATGTTGATGATGGGAACTATATCAAAGAGAATACAAGGGGATGAATTATGTACATTTGAGGATATAAGGTGGTAGGGCCATCAGGTGTACACTGATTGGTCCTTTGGCCCAATTACTCTTTATAGGGCATTGACACCCCACTAGTAGACTAGAGGAGAAACCCATGGTCCAGTCTTGTGTTATATGGATTTTGGCCAGTCCATATCACTTGATTGGATAGCTTGTTTAATTACCCATTACATGGATGAGGTTTTAGCCCATGGGTTCAATCAGAGAATATAAGGTGGGTGGATATAAGGGAGGTGAGAGGATTATTGATTGTACTTTATATATGCTTTAACAATATGAAATTTTTTTGGAATACTATGAATTTGCAATGGTCTCACTTGACACATCATGAGCACTTACTTGTATGGTTGATAAGTAGGATTGTTGGTTACTGAGGCTTTTTGTCTCACCCTGTTGATTTAACAATTTTCCAGGTGATAGTTTCTGTTTAGGTAAGTGAGGGAAGGCTCCGGAAGCTTGAACTGCTACTGAAAAATTGTAGCGCTTCCACTCTTTTGATTGTATTGGATAGATGTATATTGCCATGATAGGGCCCATTTCATATACTCTGATATGTTTGAAATTGATTACTTTGACATTGTATTTTTTATAACTGTTGCTAGACTGCAGGCTGGCAGAAGGCCTGAGGCCTCTAGGTACTTGCATGTGATTTGTTTTTGATATGAGTTGTAGATCCACAACAATCTTGAACATCAGATAACTTTTGATTTTAGAAAGTTATGAAAGGTATTATTCAGTAAAATCATGTTATAGGCTTATGATTGAAAATGACACTCTGGGTTTCTAATGCCCAAAGCCCTATTCATTGTAAATCTCGATTTGCACGAAGTTGATTTAGAAGGATTCTTTTAACCATGATAGATATATTTATATGTTGGTTTAACTCTTTTCTATCATGGTTAATCTGATGTGATTTAGGATGTTTATATAACCATGATAGTATTTTTTTTTATGTTTTACAAAGTTTCTTTTCTATCATGGTTAAGTTTTCAATGTTGATTAATTTAAAAGTGTAGTAGATTTGTTGTTACATAGATAGAGAGCATGTGATGGATTGAAGATTAAAATAATAAGTCTTAGAAGTGGATTTCAAATGACATTTAAATGTAGATTGGAAGACACATGGAAAGCTCTATGTGTTGATACATCACCAATGTGGTTTTGTTTAAGGGTTTTCATGATAATTGACTTAGTATAAATAGCCCCTCTTCTTCAACACTTGCACATTATGGCTAGCCATTAAAAATAGTGTATGGTGAAAATTTGAGATGAAAAGAGAAGAGAAAGAAGAGAAGAAGGAAGGCAAAGGCAAGTGTTGTCAGTAAGTTACTCTTTACAAGTTATGGTATTGTTGTTGTTGTTAAGTTTAGAGATATTTTAGAGTTGTTTTATGGGCATCAATCTTTGAGTTCTATTCAAAACTAGCTTAAGTTAAGGAAGCAATAATTGAAACATCCTTCTTTAAACTCTTTTTTAATGCAGGTTGGAAGCGTTATGGTTCAAGCGGATCATAAAACAAGCCTACAGATTGAAGGTTTGAAATTTGTTTCTCGAGTTACTATGGTAAATTCCAGATTTTCGGTCCAAATTTGAAAAATTATAACTAATTACAAAAAAATCACATTGAGGTGATTCACATTTTATTTGAAACTCTTTCAATATTCTACAAGGAAAAAATATAAATTTGGTCTTGGCCCTTTCCTTGTGTGTTGTCTTGAAGTTGACTCTGTTTCTTCTTTCTCTTCCTTTTCCCTTTGATTCAAGAGCAAAACCTTTTTCTCCCTTGTATTCTTAATTTTGGCCGAATTATGGGTCTTGGGGTATTTATAGACAAAATTTTTACAATAGATTTTTCATTTTGACCTTGGTTAATTATTAAAATTCCATGGTCCACTTGTCTCATGATATTGTCTTCCCTTCCATGATCATGCCATGTGCCCTCCTAGCCTTTCTAACATGCAATTAAAACTAATATAAAATTGTAATTTAACCTCTTCTAATTATGCCTCCTGACAAATGACATAATTCTAACCTTGTTTTCCTCTTATAAAATGGTGCCAAAATTGCTTGAATGATGGAAGGAAGAATTGTCCCACTAAGCTTTAGGTTATTCCATTGTATAATTTCACCGTATCAGATACATTTTTTCTGGATCCTATCCAATTTAGTAGCTCCAAACATTTGTTTCTTTGGGCTAATAATTTTCTTTTATTGAACAAAAGTTTACTAATTTTTCTTCAGTCAAAATTTGACCTATAACTTCTTCTATTCAAATTTTCTCCAAATCGATTTTTTACTAACATAATTTGGCAGTGAACATTTTCAAGCTAACCTCTATGCTTCTGGAGGTCAGGAATAATTTTGCAATCTATTATAAACTCTCAACTAATCTTTCCTTATTTTTTTTGAATAATTGAGGCCTCTGTATATTTAAAATAATTCACTTTAGCTAATTTTCTCCTAGTTAGCCAAAAATACCTATCATTACAAAAAAAATTCTCATAAATTATTTTTATCTTATTTTCACCTTTTGAGCCTCAAATACTATTCTAGACACTATTCTAATTTTTTATGAATTTTTGAAAATTTTTAGGAATTTTGGGCATAGTTTTCAATACTACCCTTTCTTAACCGAAACTTTTCAAAATGACAGTCCAGTCCCTGTCCAAGTTTCACTTCAAAAGTTATTTCATCTCTGCCTTTACTATTTTATCTAGCCCTTCTCAGCTCTAAATTTCTCATTTAACATGTTAAAATTAACACGATGTGATAGTAAGCAATCTCATCTCTATGAGGAGGAGAACACAAGTTCAAATCTTATGAACAAATTCGAACTTGAGGAAGCGTACTTGTTGGAAGTGCTTTAACCTTCATACTTTTGGCCTAACAGAGATCAGTCTTAGGCCTAAAGTAACTTGAAGATACTCTAACTTATACCTAAAAAAAGTGACTTGAGGATACTCTAAGCTATACCAAAAGAAAAGAATAATAACGATTAATAACCATAGTTCTAAAAATTGGATAGGTCCAATTGGTTCAGGCTAAAAATCGGCCAATTAGCCAGGTGACTTGTCCGATTCACCCCTAAAACCAGGGTGAAACTTACCTAGTATGAACCGGATGAACCTAGTGCAAACCAGGAGTAGCCCAGGTAGCCTATTGGATTGAGTGGGTTATTCGAGTTACTTTTAAGAGGAAAAAATGAAGGAGATCAATGAAGGCTGAGAAGAAACATTGCTTGAAAGATTAAAAAAAAAAGTAAGGAATAAAAAATGCAGATACAAAATTGAAGAAGAAAAAGATGGAAGACGAAGAAAAGAAAAGGAAGGGGAAAAAAAAGAAGAGTTATCTTAAAAACTTGGGTCTCAAAATAAAAATAAAGAGATTTTCTCCTCATCAAAGCTCCCTTGGCAGTGCCTCTTCAGTTGGTTCCATCGCAATTGAGGACAGTTTCAGAGTGATAGATATGATGTATGTTTAAATGTTAAATACAATAGTTTTGAAAAAAAAGAGGAGTAGGATGGAGAGAAATTGAGGAGGGGAGGACTTTGAAATAAAGAAACTAAAATGACAATTCATGACTGATGAGTGATAGATGAGACATTTGCTTAGAAAAAGGAAAAAGTCTTACAGTGGTTCAACGTGTATGTATTTATGAGTTAGTATTGGAATTGTACAATTTTTAATGCAATTATTATGTTGTTATTATTATTTAAATTTTGGTTTTCATTTAAAATAATTACCATGCATTTAAAAATATATTATTTTAATCCTAATCTAACTCATTGATCTTTAACCTATTATCTTGACTAGTTTAGTAATCAGTCCGATTTTTAGTAACCTTGTTCGATTACTTTACAAGTACCTCAAACCAAGCTTCTCTCAAGATGGGATGACGGTATCCGTCACCAGGCTATGGGCGGGTTTCGTGTGGCTGGGGACACTAGACACCCACGGGCCCAAGGATAACAACGAATTGATGTGGATGAGATATTGTAGCCAGATTTAATAGTGACATCACCGACTGATTTTTTTTTTTAGTGAACATCACCGACTGATTTTGGTTGAACTTATCTTCATTAAATCAAGAGTTTTTGTTTTTTTAATCAAATCCTCCTTATATTTTTACCAGTTTTTAATTAGGTACTTATATATTTTTTATTTATCAAGTCCTTATAAATTCACTTTATTTTTAATTAAGTTCCTAAATTTTTTATTCTTTATTTTATAAATTTTAATAGTATTATTCTATAAATATAAAATATTATATATTATTTACTATTATTTTATAGACAATAATGTTATAAAAATAATGAATTACTATAATAATTTTATTTTTTGCCAGCAAAAAAATTAATTGTTCTCAAATATTTTCTCAAATTAATTAATTATATTATTATTTTTATCATATAATTATTAATTTAATTTCATTATTAATATTTTATATTCAGTCTTAATCTATTTAATTAAGTTTACATTTAATTAATAAATAAAAATTAAAACTACATGAACTTGATTAAAAATTTAGTGAAATTATAAGGACCTGATAAAAAAAAATAAATGTAAAGACCTAATTAAAACCAGATAAAAGTATAAAAACCTAATAAAAAGAAAAAAAAATTAACCCTTAAATCAATAAATAATTTTTTAAAAAAAATCAATAAATAATGCAGCTGGTTAAAAAAAAAAAAATTTAAATAAGAAAATATTATCAAAATACGCCGGACTTAACAGGTCCCTCTAGCTGGTCCGGCTCTGATTGCATCTATCTCAGCGATACCAATAGCCATGGCCGAAATCCAAGTAGTCTCCACAACCTTGGTGCAAGCTCGAAGCCACCCTGGCTGCCTCATTTCAAAAATGGACTTAACTCCATGGGATCTCCAACTTCTTCAAATCGAAACCATTCAAAAAGGACTTCTCTTTCACAACCCTAAAGCCAACAAAGACACTTGTATCCAACACCTAAAAGACTCACTTTCTTCTACTCTAGACTTGCTCTTTCCCCTTGCTGGACGTTTCGCCTTCTCTGAACACGACCATAATACAATCTCTGCCTCTATTTCTTGTAACAACGAAGGTGCTTTATTTGTCCATGCCATAGCTAAGAGCATTTCTCTTTCAGATATTCTCGAACCCATTTATGTTCCTCGTTTCGTTCACTCGTTTTTTCCACTGAACGGAGTCAAAAATCATGAAGGTAATTCGAAGCCATTGTTAGCTGTGCAAGTTACGGAGCTAGTAGACGGCGTCTTCATCGGTTGTTCAATCAACCATTCTGTTGTGGACGGCAGATCGTTTTGGCATTTCTTCAATTCTTGGGCTGAAATCTCTCGAGGTTTGGACAACGTATCCAAGCTTCCTGTTCTTGAACGCTGGTTTCCGGATGGGATTGGGCGTCCCATTCGCTTTCCTTTTACTGAGGAAGATCAAAACTCTGATGGGTTGATTCTGCCGTCGCCGCCGCCAGAGAGAGTTTTTCACTTTGCAAAAGAAAAGATCGCTCATCTGAAAGCAAAAGCAAACGCGGAGGTTAACACCAACAAAATATCATCTCTACAAGCACTTCTAACTCATGTTTGGCGATCTATCATTCGAAACCAAGGTCTCGATGCGAATGAGGAAGTCAATTTTGTGTTGCTAATAGGTGCTAGACCAAGAATATTGGATCCACCATTATCGCAAAGTTATTTTGGAAATGCTGTGCATATCGGTTAAATAAAATGACCAAGAAAGCAGGGGAATTGCTTGAGGAAGGGCATGGGGATACAGCTTTCTCAAAGCCCAGAAATTGTTCATTCCCAAAGCTGTATCCCCATGTGTAAGGGTTTCTATGAGTCTTGGGTGAAAAACCCAGAGCTGTTTAGATTAAGTGGGATGAAAAGTAATACAATTGGCACAAGCAGTTCTCCGAGGTTCGACATTTACGGAAATGACTTTGGCTGGGGCAAGCCGGTGGCAGTTCGGAGTGGTTCTGCAAATAAAGCTAACGGAAAGCTTACTGTTTTTGCTGGAGCAGAAGAAGGTAGTATTGACATTGAACTTTGCTTCCGTTTTGAGATCTTAGAAGCTTTGGCAAATGACCCTAAGTTCATGGATTTTTTTGCGAAAAGTAGTGTCTTCAAGGTGGTCAGGCTAAGACCTCTAATAAGTTCAGTTTGAGGCTATTTGCAAGTCGGAAGACGAAATAATAATAATCTTGTGTGAGGAAGGGCTTGAGGTTTCTGTGTGTAGTGTGAGACCAATTGATTCTTTCCCATCGATTGATACTTGCACTATTTTCAGCAAAGGTGAGTGAGGCATTAATCTTGATCTCCTAGTGAGGAAGTATTTTCTAAGAGCAATACAACACCTTAAAATATTTCATGGTTTATTTAGTATTTTCAAGTATCTTTAAGTATGTTTTTTAGGTACACTGAACATCTTAAAATTAATACTTACAAAAAAATACTTTAAAGCACATGATGCATATTCATTTACTATTACTTATGATTATGATTGCGATCCTAAATGAAGTCTTAATAAACTTTTTGAGGGCTAGAGTTCTCTAGTTTGATCATGTAAAAAATTGCTTTAAGGAGATAATTGCTCTTTAAAAAAATTAATGTTTTAATAAAAATTTTTACCATGAGATATTTTAGGTGCTGAGTCCATTTAAAAAGAATTTTAAAATGCTCAATAAATTACAAAATAATTTTAAGGTGTTAGATATAATTTAAAATAAAAAGGAGAAATTGTAGAAAAGGACCGTCGAAATAGAAAAATTGTAAATAGGGACTCGGATAATATAGTATGGGTTTTGATAATAATAGTATGGGTTTGACAATAATTTTTATAAATATGTCCTTATATGTAATTTTTCAACTTTAGTGGGTTTTTTTTTGTGATTTTTCCAAAAAAACAATTAACATTTTTTTTTGAATAATAACTGGATACTATTACCTTAAAAGTAAAACATAAAGCAAAGTAACAACAAAGTAACAAAGACTAAGCAGGAAAAAAAAAACTTTCCTTATCATCCGTTGCCTATGGAAAAAAAGGAGGAGGGTGATTAAAGATACAAAAGATGATGTCGATTTATGGGCTGATTTAGCTAAGTAATCAGCATAAGAATTATCTTCTCTGTAAACATGTTGAAAGAGGACTTGCCAATCTCTATTCAAAAGAAGTCTTGTGTCTTTAATGATGTTCTTAAAAGGGTGAGAATCATGACAACCTTTGAAATCAGGTTAATAGCCTCTAAGTAGTAAGAGTAGAGAACTATTTTCCGGTGGCCTTTGTTCCAATATAAAGTAAGGCCATGAAAAACTCCCATAACTTCAGCTATGGTAGGAGGAACATTGATCAATTTACAGCTATACCCGCATATCCATTGGTCATCACCTCTTCTAATGATTCCGCCATATTTGCTTCTACCATCTTCTAGTATCAAACCATCCACCTCGAGTTTTATTGAGTCACCTTTAGTGTTGGCACCCAACTCCCCTTATCGGGGTTTAAAATGATAAAACCATGGTTGTCTCTAAGATCTTGATCCAAGCAAGCTTTAAAGAAGCTATCATTTGCCTTTCTGTTATCATCTCTGTTTGGGGTATTGAAGACCTTATTGCATCTGTCTACCCAAATATCCCAGCAGATGTACCCAAAGAGTGTTGGCCAAGGGATCTTTTTTGTGTACTCCAACCCTGCTTCATTTGTAAGATTCCATTTTATCGTCAGCTCCGTGATGTGAGGAGAAAGCATACCACATAGAAGGTTTGATCACTGACTTCCATCTGTCCTGAGCATTTAAACAATCTTGAAGTAAATGCATTGAGTCTTCATCCTAGTTACACTGAAAAGGACAGTTCGCATCAACTGCTAGTCCTTTGTTTCTTTTGAGTTGGGCTGTATGAGCCTTGTCATGAGTAAAAAGCCAATTGAAAGTTTTGATCTTTTTTGGTATCTTCCACCTCTATATAAGCTTCCACACACTATCAGTAGGCTGGTGAGTACCTGCAGAGAAAGAGAATATATGCAGTTTTAATAGAAAAACAACGTCAGTGGCATGTTTCCAATAGAATTTATCCTGTCCTCTCTCCTCACTCGGTGGGTGTGCAGGGGTGATCTGGTCAGTTATAAGTAGATAAAGCCATTGTTCCAACTTTTCCTTTCCCAATCACCTTCACCATCTATATAATTTGTCACACATTCATTTGCATCGATCACCTCCTCCAATTCAGGTAAAATATCCAGTATCAGTGTGTT